CGCTCCCCACCGCCCAGCTTCCTGATTGGCCAGGAAGCTGGCTCCTTGTTCCCTCATGGCACTGCCAGTCAGAGGAAATCTCCCGGAAGTTCTGATATTGGGGGTAAGTATTGGAGCATTTGGGCAGGTACGAGTACTTGTCCAAATACTCGGTATCGGCACCGAATTGAATTTTAGGACCAATAGGTGTGTGTGTGTGTGTGTGTGTGTGTGTGTGTGTGTGTGTGTGTGTGTGTGTGTGGACATACATATACATTTTTTGCATCATGCTTCCTATATGTGAACAAGGAACCAGCAATGGATGTGTTTGGGAATAGTTTGTATGCATCGGAAATGGCATTCTCAGATTACTGACAAAAGGGGATGGACTGGTTCAGTACAAGGTTCAGGGCCTTAAAGTGTATCTAAAGCATTTTTGTGCATAGAAGAGGCTTGAATTCTGTCAATTTTTTTCTTGTGCCATCTATGTCCAGTTGGGGAGATTTGCAGTGATTTTCTGTTCTGGAGACATAACAGGGCAGTAAAGGTGCCCATACACTGTACGATTCTCGTACGAGAATCGCGGGAAATCCCGCGATCGTACGAGAATCGTACAGTGTATGGAAGGTGTGCGACCGTTTCTACTGTACCGTCGCACGTCTTCTGTCGAACAAGCAGGCTTGAAAACCCGCCGAGAATCGTACGATTCTCTGCAGGTTAGTGGCCTGCTTGTTCGACAACTGCCGAACCGGCCTGTGTGCGCACGCGCACACTACCCGTTTGCAGTGATCGGAAGCCCGCCCCTCAGCGGGGCGGGCTTTCGATGATCGCAAGTACGATCTGCCCGTCCAAGATGGGCAGATCGTACGAGCTTTCAATGAGCTTACGACCATCGCAAGACAAAGGTCTTGCGATGGTCGTAAGGTGTATGGGCACCTTTAGAGAGTTCTCACTGCAACAGGTGTACCCAATGGAAGATTTCCTCTCACTTCTTGTGACAATTGTAAAATGTCCCATTGCTTTCTGCGTTGGTGACAATGTTCACAAAGATAAACAGAAAGATTGGGGACACACAGCAATTACAAGGGGTTCTAACGTTTCCCACTCTATTCATATAAAAAAGTATTGGCTTTAGGTACACTTTCATTTTGACTGGAGTTTACCGTTAAATAACAGGGCACTCGGCATCCTGAGCAGGAGCAATCTACTTCAATCTTACAGAGAAAAATGGTGTTTTATTTAATGTTTTCATTTGTATGCCTCACAATTTGCTGTGTTTTAATCAATAGATATATTGCCTTACACACATTTAGGGCGCGCACAGTAAAGTCTGTTTATCATAACTCTTCTGTGCTGTGTTGGAGTTTGTTGTGATTTAAGACTTGAAGTGGATTATTCTAGTTGTTGGTGGGAAAATGATTGATTAATATAACATTTCTCCTAGGACTTATTGATGAAGGGAGAATTCTAATCTGTCATCGCTGTTTAGCTTCTGTGCATTGTAAATCTGCAGTAATGCTATATATCTTGGTGATTTAACAAGCATGTGTCACTTTATTACTGTGCAGCCTTCCCTGCATATAGCAGTAATATGTTACCTTCTATGTGATTTGGGTTCCTGTGTCATAAAATAAAAATAACATCTCCTTATTTTTGAAGATTCAGCATTGACCAAGATCTTAAATTATGCTATGTAAAGCTGAAGAGCCAAACTGTATCCAGCACTGCAAATTTGCTAGAAAGGGCAAAGTGACAGGTTCACTCGATGGTGCCTCCCCCACTGCTATTACCTACCTTTCCTTCACACCACATTGAGGCTTTGGGGCCAAGGGGAATTCCGTGTACTTAAAGTATAAGGAAGTATGTGCTGTATTTCCTTCTTCCACAATGCAGTGACGGGTGTCTACTGGCCAGTCTCCAGGATGTTGAGGAGCGAGTCCTTAGCCCTGTGTATGTTCTGACCAGGCGGACTTGGAACATACACTGGCCTATTTCACTTGGCTCCAGCAGGTGAATGGAGAAGTATTGTGGGTAAGGTAAAGGTCAGTAGGGGAAGGTGGAGGAGGTGTCAGGCTATTAATGGGCAAAGTACAGGTGCTCTTTATTATGTGTCAAGAAGTTTTATTGCAGACTTTTGTCTCCCGATAATCATGTAGTATGTGGGCCACCTCCATCATTCAAATGTGACTTATCTACTTGGGTATCAATCTGCCTATATCTGCATTTTGAGAAGGAGAGGTCACCAGTGGCCATTGAAAATTTATTTTTTGGCAAGTGTACTTGAGATCTCAGGGAAAGGCATTTTCCTACCCTGAAATGATGTGCATGGTCACATGTCCTAGTCACATGTGCCAGAGTTCCAGGAAGTAAAGGAAGAGCTAGTAACCTGTCCTCAGTTAAAATAGTCACTGTCAGAAAAATGGGGAGGAAAAGAAAAATAAAGTATGCAAAGAATAAATAGCTGGCAAATATCTAGAAGTGTCTGTTTGTAGATTGTGATTACTAAACATCTCTAAAGGTGCCTTTGTTATTTTGAAGATATGGGTAAAGTTCCTCTTTAAGAACACCCTAATTTATTTAAAATTGGTATAGAATCTTTCAGCATGTGTTATCTGACATTCATATTACATGTGCAGAGTATTTTTGGCATACATTACCATATATAAGTAATTTAAAGATCTTTTCGATTTAGCTTTGAGGATAGTATAATGTAGTTTAGCATTGCTCAGTACATAGACACTGAATGATGTTTGTAATGTGTCATGATTGGTCTGCATTTGTGTGTTGCTCCCGCTGTCTGCGTGGGTGCACATTGTGCATATAAGCAGCGGCAGAGCTTTAGAGGTGATTGATCAACTGAGTCATGTTCCTGCAGCCTGTAATTATCTACTGCTGTAGTCATTTGGTTTATTATGATTTTTTGTTTTTCCAATCAGCCGCTCATTATAATGAATATAATTACTCAATAACTGCAATCTAGTCGTGTCACTGGGTAGCTGAACTGTTGGTTTGCTTCTACCCAGCAGCAGAATGTTCCACTTCAAATGTGCTTTGTTACAGGATGCAGCTTTAGAAATTCGGCTGATTTATGAGTCAGAACGGTGGCGTATAGAAATCGACCCATGTGCAGTTTTCAAGAGCATAAAATTCATCTGCCACTGATCTGACGCACGGAAAAGTAATGCACGGAACCCAAACTTAAGTTACCAGCAGCTATGAAATGTTACCTGCTGCTTGCCTTTAACGGGATTCTGGCATGACATAGAGCAGTTGTTGTTGCCCTTGTTTTACAACTTTTATCTTCCTAGTCTTATATGCTCATTACTTTATCTGGAACACATATGGATGTCAGCATTTTTCACTTCACTGGCCATTTATATTTTTAGATAATTGCCACACTATGCTATAAACTTGGTCGAATGATGACACCTCAGAGCATGCAACTTTTAAAACCCACCATTCTTAAAGTGACGTTAAAGTCAAAAAAAAAATTCCCTCCCCCCAATGTTAATGTCAGCACTTTCCTTAAATGATATCTCTTAATCCGATCTTCCTCTTCTTTCCTGTTCTTTTCAGCATTCTCTCTCCAGCGCTGCGGCGGGGTTCCGATCCAGCGCTGGCTCCTCTGTCCTTGCTGGCACTTCCTGTCCTGCGGTGTCTGCATGCGGGTGCACACGTCCATAGACTATACTTACCTTGCGTCTCTCCTCGTCTCTCCTCTGCAAAAAAACCGGAGGGTTTAGAAACCCTTTAAGGTGCCCATACACCTTGCAATCATCGATTTTCGTACAGTGGCCCCATCATGCACCGACCATCGCACAGTTCAATTAGCGGTCATTAGCAAAATCACCTGGCCGAATTTCATTAATTGATGGCGCGGATTTTAGTTTGCGCATGAGCAGTGTTATTCATGCAACTTTTGACGACGAAAACTCCACCAACCTAGCGAATTTCGTACGATTGAACTGAGTTTTCTAGCCTGCGGTAAAGTCGCACGATTGTACAGTATTTGCGGTTATTCACTGCCCATCAACCATGCGAATATCATACAAAAACGCGATTGCAAACGAAAATCGGCCGATATTTGTAAGGTATATGGGCACCTTTTATACAAAGATCTGCTATGGCAGCTTCCATACTTCTTTTATGACATGAGAGGAGGTAAAACTCCTAATCCTGCAAGCTCCTTTTAATGAATAACATATTAAAGGTTAACCCCAGTATGCTATATGGCCGAAAGTCTGTGGACATCCAACCATCATAGATATATGAGCTGGTGAACATCTCTTATTAAAACCATTAGATGTAGTACTATAGAGTTGGCCTCCCATTGTGGTTTTAACACCCTTTACTCTTACAGGTAGGCTTTCCAAAAGATTTTTGTGTATCTGTGGAAATTTGTGAGGTACTGATGCTGAACGTGACTCGCAATCTGCGTTTTACTTTATCCCAAAGGTATTAGTAGTCTGAAGTCAGGCCTCTGTGATGTAGATGCACATCAAGTCATGTCTTTATGGAGCTGGCTTTCCACACAGGGACACAATCCCTGTGTAGAAAGAGATACAGAATAGAATACACCTAGAGATAAGCATTCTGCAAACTGTTGTGTTGCTTCAAGATTTGAAGCACAAAATTGTTGAAAATGTTTGTATGCTGTAAAACGCTGGAACTTAATAATTTGGAGGTGGTGTCCATATACCTTTGACCATATAGTAGGTGTGATGGTCAGATGTTCACAAACATTTGGCCTTTTTATAGTGTATCTTATTTTTAGGGGATTTGGT